GCCATCAGAAGAGAATCGCGGGCGACAAGCTGGCGCCTGGGAGGGGGTTGGGACTTCCTCGGGACCGCGCATTGGAAAAAGCATATCTGTGAAGGTCTGGGGATGAGGCGCGCGCGCGCGCCGTCTTGCCGAAGCTGGCCCTGGGGCATACTAGTTCCCCCCCCCCATCCGCAGGCCTTCACGCATCTCTCAGAGAAAATGTGCAGGGCCTCGGGGCTGCAGGTAGCTATCTGAGCAGGGCGAGGCTTACAAGTGCGCAGTCAGAGCAGCAGAAACCGCAGCATCTGGGGAGCAGGCGTCGGAGTGTTGCCAGGTCTCCCGTATCTGACATTTGCTGGTTTGCAGCAGTGGCTCGAGCGTGTCCTGAAGTCCACCGCTGGCGGAGTTAAGCCGTGCACACACACCCTCTGAGCCTCGACACCCTGGGCCAGGTATAACCCCATTTGGCGTCCACTGACAGCCCCCCTATCTCCTTAGCAACCCCCGCGCCCATCCCGGCAGAGATCTGAACCCCTTCCTCCAGACCAGGTTCTTCCCTCCGGAGTAGTTCTTGTTGACGGCCCCGATGGCCCGGCAAGGGCCCCAGAGGTCGAGAACTGCCGAAGCTTCCCGTCGTGACCTTGCTCACGACGAGACAACGATAGGGGCACAGCGGGGACGCGAAGGTACGGCAGGTTCGTGTCGTGTCGACCGGCGGCGACCCCGCCAGCGGCGGTCAACGTTGAATGCCGCGGGCGGCCCAGCATCGTTCGATGTGGAACGTTTTGGACGTTTCGGAAGCGGCCGATCGTTCGAGGTGGAACGATCCCCCCGGCGTCGGACACCAACGCCGAAGCCGGCACAGCACGAACCTGCCGCAGCAACCCGTCCCTCGCCGCATGGGGGCGTGAGGGCAGCAGCTGCGCCCGCGCGGCCCTCTCCCCTCCCGAGGCTCGCGGGCCAGAAGCGGGTCGCCCCCTATCAGGCCCGCGGAGGTTTTTTGCTCCTGGGTCGGGCGGGGAGGCGGGAGGGCCAAGCCTACTTGTTGCTAGAATTTAAGTCGGGCGTGTCCCCCTACAGGAGGAAGATTCGAAAATAGTCAAACAATAGTCTGGGGACGATGTTCCTATTATTGTTTGAGCGTTTGTTGGCTATGTTTTTAATGTTTCGCCAAAAACCTGCCTGTAGGGGGGGGACATGCCCGACCTTATTCTAGCAGACCACTATCTGGGGTCGATGCCAAATGCCGCTCTCACGTCCTGGCCAAAAGCGTATATGGACACATTGGGTGCATGCCGTGACGTCCACAGACGCTCTCGAGGTGGACACGTCTATGGACAGCGTGGCCGTTGCTTTTGGCTCGGTGCAAGGTCGGAGAGAGGGTAGATCCGTCTGCGGTGTGTTCCTGTTCTAGAGCAAGTCCCGCATGGTACTCCAAACCGGGCGGCACTTCGCCCCCGTGGGCTCCTCGCAGCGTGCAGCCCTGCCGGAGGGCGTGCGCCCCCGTTGGCTTGGCATCGCTCGGGCGTGCGCACCTGTTCTCTGCGAGGGCCCTCGAGGCGCAGATCGGAGATCACCACACACGAGACGAGCGCACGAGACACGCGCAGGGAGTGGCCGTCCGAGCGAGGGCGAGCGGCGGCCAGACGCCGGCGGGCCACCGCCGCCCGGGGTGCTGCCCGCCGTGCGAGAGAAGCCCCGCCTCCGGGCACCCCCCTTGGGGGAGTCCAGCGGGAGGGCCGGGCTGCGCCGAGCTGCCCCGATGCCATGCACGCGGAGGCGCAGCACGTGCCGTGCGCGGAGCGTCCGTGCCAGCACGTCGCGTGTTGGCTCAGCGTGCCAGGGCCCAGGTGTTGGCGCGAGCGTGTCGCGCCAGAGCTGCGTCCTCAGTCTGCGTGTGGAGCTCCGCGTCAACGCGCTGCGGGTTGCGTCGTGCGTATCGGGGCGGCTCAGGTCCTGCGCGGGTGCACCCCACGGTCGTGCCGAGTACGCTGAGGGGGACGGACGGAGGCCCTTGGGTGATGCTTGCGCTTGTATTGTCTGGCCGCTGCGCTGGTTTGCCGCGCTGCAACACATGCGGCGTCCGTTGGTCGATGCGAGGTCGGGACGAGGCAGGCGACGGGTCAAATTCGAGGCCGCAGTCGCCCAGGTAATTATCGTCCCCCGCTCATTTGGGTACCTCGGGGATCACTTCGGATGGGTATGTAGGAATTTCAGGGGCACGTTGTTGCATTCAGAACCCTCTCACTCCAGTCCTCCCTCCATCCCTCCCTCCCAGATCCCACGTCCTCACTTCTCGTCCATCCGTTCTTGTTTCCCTCCTCTCCTCGGCGATCCGTCCTCCCTTCATCTCTTCTGCCCCTCCCCTCCAAACCCTCCTACTACCCTCCCCGTCCTCTCCCGCTCAATCCTTCGCTCCACGGCGTTGTCACCCCGCGGACCTCGCATCGCGCAGATGCTCGTCGCCTGCGAGCAGATGACGAGTGGTGCGCCTTGGGATTTGCCAGTGCTTGCCTGATGAGAGTGAGGGGAAGAATGAAAGCGGGACTCAGCGAGGAGGGAGAGAGTGCGAGGGGCACTTGAATAAATGTTCTAGATATCTATCTATATATATATATGACCATATATATATATAGATACATGCATGCATACATGCATGCATATGTTTGTATGTAGGTGTGTACGTGTATATGCATGTGTGTTTATGGTTGTACGTATGTGTGTATGCGTGTTTGTATGTATGTAGGTAGGTAGATATGTATGTATGTATGGTAGGTATGTCGGTATGTCGGTATGTCGGTATGTATGTATGTATGTATGTATGTATGTATGTGTGTATGTGTGTATGTGTGTAGGTATGTAGGTATGTAGGTATGTAGGTATTGATGTGTATGTATGCATGTATGTATGTATGCATGTATGTATGGATCCGTGTATCTATGTGTGCATGTATGTATGTATGTATGAATGTGTGTATGGATGCAGGCATGCATGCATGCATGTATATATGTACATCTATGAGTGTGTGTGTATGCATGTATGCATGCATGCCTGTATGTATGTATGTATGTATGTATGCACTTGTGGTTGTGTGTCTGTGTGTATGGATACATGTATGTATGTATGTAGGTAGGTAGGTCGGTTTGTGAGGCAGACAGGTACGCAGGTATGCATGTAGATGTGAATATGTAGACAGGCATACGTGTACACAGCTACACATACTTTCATGCATGTACACTTACAGTTATGAGATTCCAACCGGCTCTAGCCTCGATCACCAAAAATAATTCCGAACACCAAGACAGTACCGAAGCTGGTGGGTTTTCACGTGTCGGGCCCTGGGAGGAGATACTCGTTCGACGTTGTTTCGATATGATTATGGGTGCTCGAAACTATGGTTGAGATGCGGTCCTCAAGTACGATGGGAGCAACCTAACCAAACATGCAGGCATGCAGACATACAGACATACAGACATACATACCCACATACATGCATACATGCATACATTCATGCATGCACACATACATGCATCCACTCATCCATACATATGTACATCCAGACAGACAGATAGCCATACAGGCATTCCATTCAGACATACAGATACAGACATACAGACACACATGCATACAGCCATGCATGCATACAAACGTACATACCTACATACAAACAGAAGTGCACCCATACATGCATGCATGCATACATACACACATACATGCATTCATACGTGCATGATTGCATGCACATGTGCAGACATGCATGCGTACATACATGCATACATACAGACGGTCAGACACACATACAACCAAACATAGGTATGTATACGTGTTAGCATAAAACACGTATGCAAGCATGCGCATATACATATATAGATACACATATACATACATACATACGTGCATACATGCATACATACATACATGCATACGTAAATGCATGCATACATGCATACACACATGTATGCATGCGTGTATGCATGCATGTGTGCATACAGACATACCTACCTACATATCTACCTACCCGTCGGTCTACCTACCCACCGACATACATGCATGCATGCATGCACACATACATACATGCATACGTGCATACAGACATACATACATACATACAGACATACCGACAGACATACATATATGCATACACGCACACGCATGCATACACACATGCATACATACATACGTACATGCATACATGCATACATGCATACATGCATGCATGCATGCATACATACATGCACACATGTACGCATGTATGTATACATACATGCATACATATACACAAGTATACACATGCATGCACATGCACATATGCATCGATACACACATGCACATGTACATACATAATGGCCGTCGGCCCCATTCCGCCACCGTGCCTGCTGTGTGGGCCACTGGCTTCCAGGATGTTCCGTGGGATGTTGTGGAGGCCTCTTGGGGACCGTTTGGAAGCTTCTCGGGGCAGTTTGGGGGTCCTCTTGGGGCGTCTTGGGGGCCTTTGGGGGGACTTGTTGGGGCCTTTGGGTGCCTCGTGGGGCTTCCTTGGGGCCTCCTGGGGGCTTCTCTGGGGCGGGAGACTCTGATTTTCGGTTCGTGTTCCTCCTCTTGGGCCCTCATTGGGATTGTATGTGGGCCCTCTGGGGCCGTCTTCGAGCCATCTTGGGCCGTCCTGGGGCCTTCTCGGGGGCCACTTGTGCCGTCTTGGGGCGGTCTTGGGGGCCTCTTGGGCCGTCTTGGAGCGGCGGAAGCTCGAAAAGTCGAGAGCCACAAAAACGTCCGCGGATTTTGAGTCGGGATCACAATTCAGTGTTCAAATCCCTAGACGCCCGCAGGGAGGGAAAGGGAGGAGTGGTCGTAGTTCGAAGGGCAAGGGTTCCAGCCCTGCCCTTCCTCGCGCCTGAAGGCCAGCGCCTCTACAAGGGGTTTGCGCGCCTCGGAGGTTGCTGACAAGGCCAGTGCAGCTGTGTGCTGAGAGTGGTCCACATCGAACGCAGTTTGAACGTCGGCTTCGTAGGTTAAGCCTCCTCTGGGTAAAATCTCGAGCGGAGAGATGCAGTTTAAGCATGCTGTTGTTCCGAGCAGACGCCGTCTCCAGTCTTCGCTTGAATCTGGACCCCACGAGCTGGAAAGGAAAAAGGCTCTTCAGAGTCTTCTTGGGCCGTCTTGGGACCATCATGCGCGTCTTGGAACGATCGTGTGGCGATCTGGTGCCCTCTTGGACCGTCTGGGCAGCCTCTTGGGGCCCTCTGGGCCCGCCTTGGGCCCGAAAAAGTCACGCGGGAACACGCGCGAAGCCCCAAGAGATTTGTCAATTCGAGGTCCAGGCCCGTGAAAGAATCCTCAGGATTGAGGGCTCCTGGGGCCCATGTGGGGGGGCGAGGGAAGGAAGGGGAGGAGAAGGAAGAGGAGGAGGAGGAGGAGGAGGAGCTTACGCTGAGGGTGGAGCGCACAGCGGCCTGCGCAAGAAAAAAAGGGAGGATGAGGAGGAGGAGGAGGAGGAGGAGGAGGTGGAGGCGGAGGCGGAGGCGGAGGAAGAGGAGGAAGAAGCCGACGACGACCACGACGACGATGAAGACGATGAGGGTAAGGACGAGGACGAGAACGAGGAGAAGGAGGAGGACAGCGAGGACGAGCAAGGGACTTGAGGACACTCCAACTCGTGCCTCAGGGGCATGGCGAAGGAAAGTCAGCCTCGCCGCCCATGCTCCCTGCGAAACCCACACTCCTTGAGGGCCCTTTGCATGTTTTAAAATTCTTCATCGTCTGCACAGAAGTTTGCCCGTCTATCCTCGCCGAGAAAAAGTGCGTGTGTATACACATATATAGATAGAGAGAGATGTATATATATACATGTGTATATATATACATTATATATATAGATATATACCCCAGACTGCAGTGGCGCGTCGCGCCATGCACCTTGGTCCTTGAAGTTTGGTACGCAGGCGGAATGACAGGAAGGTCAAGCCGACAATGTAGCGATAACTCCTTGTTGCCTTTTCCAGCATCGCCGCTAAAAATATGTTATTCGTGATCCTTCCTCCATACTTATTTTTCCTCGTTCTCGCCATGCCCTTCGCATTTTCCCCATCGTCCTCAGTTTTTGCGGAGGCTCCTCCTTGGAGAGCCTCTGGGGACCTCACAAAAGTTCCAGGCTTTCTTAAGGCCTTCTGAAGGCCTCCTGGGCGTGTTCCTGAGGTTTGGGGGCTTCCTCGGGCCACCGTGCCTCCAACCGCTGTCTCCCTGAACGACCGGGTCACGATTTGGAATGCTTCAGAGGGTATCTTGAAACCGTCTTGGGCCGCCATGGGGCTCTCTTAGGGCCATATTTGACCCCTGTTGTGCCGTTTTGGGGCTCTCTTGGACTGCCTGGAAGCCCTTTCGGATGGTTGTGGGGCGATTTGGGAGCCTCCCAGGCGGCTTCGGACGCCCAGAAGACTGCTGTATTGGGGCGTCGGGAAGCCGAAATGAGGAGAACCCTAAAATTCACCAAAAACCCGCAGAAATTAATGATTGTGCCTCATGGGGCCTTCTTGGGAGTGCTCTTGGAGGCTTTCTGAGGCCTTTGGGGCCGTCCTGGAAGCCTCTTGGGCCATCTTGAGGTCACGTCGGTCCCTCTTGGAGCGCTCTTGTGCTGTCTTGGGGGTCTCTGGGACTTCTCCGATGACCCCCCTGATCGCCCTAGGTGTGCTGGGAAGGCTTGGCAAAACGCCCTGCGAGGCCCGGGGGGGCGCTTCGAGGCCCGTCCGGAGGGTCCCAAAGCCCCAGATCCCGGGAGTCCAGCTTTGGGGGGAAGTGGGGGGGGTCCCCCCGCCCGGGTTTATAAAATTATAGGAAGAGGAATACGTATACATATGTTCGAATATTAACATGTGCGACCCTCGTACATGTCCCCTTCGGCAATTGGAGCGGCTCAGGAGGGCCCAAGACAGCCCCAAGACAGCTCCAGAAAGCCCGAGGATGCCTCACGAGGGCCCGACGAGCTCCCCAAGATAGCCAAGATGAGACCAAGGTGGGCCCAGGATGACCAGTAGACTAATTCTTTACGCTTCGCGTATCCCCACCAGCCCATCTCACAACAGCAACTCTTGCGAAGCATGCCGACAGTCGTGTTTTTTAGGCGTGTGTCCGCTTGGCCCCGCACGACGACGACGACGTCGTCGACGACGACTGGTGGGCGTCGTTGGGGGCCCTCGTTGTGTGAGTCCTTCGGCCCCGTCGTTCTTGTGTGAGTCCTTCGGGACCCTATTCCTGGTGTGAGTCGTTCGGTCTCCTCGTTGTGTGAGTCGTTCGGGCCCCTCCTCCTGGTGTGAGTCGTTCGGGCTCCTCGTGTTGCGAGTCGTTCGGGCTCCTCGTGGTGTGAGTCGTTCGGGCGCGTCGTCCTGGTGTGAGTCGTTCGGGCTCTTCGTGGTGTGAGTCGTTCGGGCTCTTCGTCCTGGTGTGAGTCGTTCGGGCTTCTCGTGGTGTGAGTTGTTCGGGCCCCTCGTCCTGGTGTGAGTCGTTCGGGCCCCTCCTCCTGGTGTGACT